TATTTTTCTATGATTTTTTACATTTTTTATGTTTTTGTGTTAAAAATTTAATGCTTTTTTTATAAATTTTTATTTTAATTTTAATTTATTTATATTTTTACTTTAAATAAAAAAATATATATATTAAATATTATTGATTTATAAATTCTTTATTAAATAATTTTAGTTTTTCTAAAACAATAATTATTTATAATTTTTTTTTTTAATTTAAAAATTAAAATATTTTATTTTTTTCTTTAAAAACTTATTTTTTTAAAAAATTTTTCCAAATTTTAATTATTTTACTTTTTAGTTATTACAAAATGCATTATCTAACTGATTATTTTTTTTATAAATTTTAAGATGTCTAAATATTTCATAAATATTTAGAAATAAAATTAAAAATTCATTTTTTTAGATATTGACATTAATTATTTTATTTATGTTTATTAAATTATAATATTACAATTTTTTATAGATCTTAAAATTTATTAAATATAATATTTTAATATTTTAAATATAAAATAAATATATGTGTTTTAATTCTATATACTAAAATAAATTATATTCCTAATATAAATTCAGTTAATTTTGCGTTTTTACTTAAACTTTTATTAGTCTTAAAAAAAAAAAAGTATACTATTACTTATTTATATAACACAATTTTTAAGTAATAAATAAATTAGAGTACATATTAAAAACGAAAACTTTTTTAAGAATAAAACGAATTGAAATTATAGAATTAATAAAATTTTAATTTATTATACTTTTAAAAAAAGAAGTTTCTTAGAGATAAATTAGATGTAAATTTTAAGTATGAAAGGATATATATAATAAACCTTGGGATAATTTATTTCTATTGTAATTGACATGATGAATAAAGAAAAAAAACAATAAATAATATTTTCTTATGATAAAATTGGATATATATCATAAATTTATATCCAAACTAATTTTTAAAACAATATAAATACAAAAAACATCTACTATAATATGGATATTGTTAAAACAATTTTTATAAATATTTAAACACAATCATTTCTTTTGTTAAATAATATAATAAAAAATAAATCAAATATACTATTAAATTATTATATTTATCTATTAACATATAAAACATATAAACATATTATATTTTTATTTTTATTAAATTTTTCTTTGATTTTCATATGTAATAACTTCAATAGTTTTTCCTTTTATTATTTACGCATATTTTCTTTTATATTTAAATTATTAATTTAATATAACTTGATTTTAATATACTTTTGTATGTTATTCGAAATCTTAACAATTAGTATTTCGTAAAATCTAATAAAAAATGTTTATAAATATATCATTCAAATGCATAAAATAGATTTCAAATTATCAGGTTATATATTTTAACTTCTTCATTTTAATATTTCTAATATAAACCCCGCAAATATAAATTTACAAGCATTCACTTTTCCTAAATCCAACAATAGTGAAATTCTTAGAAGTGTCATTTATGATTATAATTTACTAACCTTTTTGGAATCTAAGTATAATAATTATGTATAACAAGTTCCAAATTTATCATTATAAATAGTTCTTTAATAATTAATTAATATAGGAATAATTTTTTAATAAAAAAATATCTTTTTTTTTACTAATAAAAATATCTATTTTTGGCTTAAAATATCCTAATTTTTTTGAAGCTTAATTTAAATTTTTATTTATATCAAATAATTTTAATTTTTAAAAATTTTAGGTTCTTAAGAAACTTTATTCATTATAACATAATTTGTTACATTTAGTTAATTATTTTAAATTTTTTGAAAATTTGAAAATTATAATTTCTTATCTTATTATTTATATATTAATAATATCATAAGATTAATTAATCAATACTTAAGTATTTGTAATGCGGAATCTTTATTAGATTTTTTGAAATTTTGATAGGAAACATTATAAATATATTTGTAGTCATTTTAGTAGTTATATTACAGACTTAAGTTGGGTTTTTCTTAAATATATTATTATGTATTTGCATTAATCTTACAATAAATTTTCTTTTATATCATCTAATTTTATATATTTATAATTTTAGCTTTTTTTTTATTTTAATTTTAAATTTATTTCCCAAAAAAAACTTTAATAGAAAAAAAATAAAAAATTATTTAATAATTTATTTTTAATGGTTGCATATTATTTTTTTAAAAAATACTATTATATTACGCATTAATTTAATTCAAAATAGAACATTATAAATTTACGTTTATATTAAGATTTATTATGAATGAATAGTAAGGTTAATAATCTAATAATGAAATTATTAATAATTTAAAACAATTCTATATTTTTATTTTTCAATCTAATAATTAGTATGTTATTTACGAAATTTAAAAATTCCTTATATATCTACATAGCAGTTAAGCAAACATATTTATGTCCTAAAGAATATTAAAAATAACCTAAAGGAGCAAATAGAATTAAAAAAAAAATACAAATATGAAGATTTTGAATATGTGTTAACAAAGATTGCTTAATAAATAATATATTATTAATGTTATTTATTAAAAAAATAATATTAATCAATATTTTTTTATATTAAAATGTAATAGATTTGTAAAATTTATATGAAAATTAATACTCTTTATATAGTTATTTTTAAAATAAGATAAAGGATAAAATAAAAAAGAAAGAAAATGGTTATACTAAAAAAAAAATTAAGAAAGAATTATGTATAAGTATATTAAGAATAAAAATCTGCAAAAAAAATATATGGCGAAACAAATAATGAAGTAAAAAAAATAAATTTAATAATAAATAATTTAAATTAAGATAATATAGATAACTAATTATTAAATTTATTATATTTATTATATTATTAATATTAAATATTTATATATATATATATAATAATAAATTAATTTTATCATATTAATTTTATTTAATAATAAAAAATATATTATTATATAAATTTAAACAAAATTATGACATTGATTGCTATTTTTAACTTCTTAATTTTTTTCTAATATATAAGAGCGTTTAATATTTAAAATTTTATATAGCTTGTATAAAATAAGAATACCTAATGGAATGTAATTTCAAATATGTTTTCTACTGGTCCTATGGTTTAAAAAACAAAAAAATTTTTAAATTTATTATAAATATAAAAAGGATGGTTTTTTTGATCATGATACAGCAGTTAGTTTATATAGAAATGTCTAAAGTTAATTTAATAATATAGCATGTCCTTTAGAAAGTATAGGCAGTACAGAGGAAAACCGTACTATGTATTTAACATGTTTAACTTGTAAAAAATTAAAATTATTGAAATATTTAAATATAATTATATAATATAAGTATTAAATAAAAGAAACGGCTTAAATAACTAATAGGGTGTTTTTGTAAATAGTTTGCATCATGCTAGAGAAGTTATGTCGCTTTCAATGCAACTTTATACATATGCACATATACTTTATTAATACTTTTAAGGGGATTAAAAAACAATTGAATTTTTAGAAAATAATGTTATTTGGTTTGTTCCAGCTGTCAATGTTGACGGATATGAATACTTAAAATAAAATTTAAATGACGAAGATAAAAAATTATATATCAGAAAAAATAGAAAAATTGAAAAGCAATGCGAATATGATTTCTTGTAAGGAATAGATCTAAATAGAAACTACCCGACAGCATTTGGAATTGATGATATAGGAAGTCTTCCAGATTAATGTCATTTAAACTATAGAGGATAATAACCTTTTTCGGCAAAAGAAACCTAAAATATATAAAAATTTCTTGATTAAAGAATAAATATTAAAGTTGCAATAAATTTGCATTCATATGGAAATATGTGGTTGATTCCCTTTAACTATATAAATGATAAGGAAAATAATTTATTGAAATAAATGGAAAAATATTACTTAATTTATTAAGAATTTTTTAATTAAGCCAGTTTTTCTTAAGATGCATTAAAAGGAAATGCTCCATAAATGTTTGATTATGTTGCCAATGGCGAAGCTAGTGATTGGATGCTAAAAGAAAAAAGTTTTTTTATAAAAAAAAAATTATAACATATTTTAATAAAATATAAAGAAATTATAGCTTTAAGTCCAGAAATTGGATCTAAAGTAAATGGTTTTTATCCTGCTCCAAATAAGATTGTCGAAACCCTGGAAATGAATTTGCCTCCTATAATGTATATGATACATAAGATGAACCATAATCCAAGGTTTTTTTAAAAACAAATAATAAAATATATTTATTAATAAAAGTATATAGCAATTAGGATTATTAGATAACTTAATAGCCAATAAAGCTTTTTATAAAATCGATTTCCAAATAAAGTAATAAAAAGATATTATGCCTGATGATTAAATATTGAATTTGATATATATTGAAATTTCTAATTAAGGAATTGCAGATATCATAAAAGATAATATACATTTAAATTTAAAATTACAATCTTAAATTTAAAATTCAAATTAATATTATTTAAACTTATGTTAAGCTTACAGTATTTAATATGAAGATATTTATAGGATATAATAATTAAAGAAGATGAAATATTCATAATTTTAATCTCAATTAATTGAATAACATTAAATGATTTCTAATAGTTTAACATAAAAGGAATTAAATAATTATCAAATTTAAATTAAATAAATAAATGGAAGGAATCATATATATATTTTATTTTATTAATTTAACATAATCTTCCACTTTATACATAATTAAATATTTAATTAAATATTAATAATAAATAATTGACAGATAAATAGTTATATTTAGATTAAGAAACTATTGACATTTATTATATTGATAATGGATAACTCCTAAGCATGAGATTGATGGTCTTAGTTGCAATTTTAATATTCTTTGATAAATCTATATATTTACTGATTTGATGATGATTAAGTTTAATA